TAAACTAAACGTAATTTAACATAATCAAAACAAACAACAATTTTGAAATAAAATTCCGATTTGTGGTGAGTCCAATCTATTACTTAATTGGGTAAAATTTTGTACACATGCCCAGTGTTCTCGAGAGTAGAGAACTACACCAGTCGCAACTGCGAGGCTCTTCTGGTCTTCGCAGATTACTCTATAAATGTCCTATTGTTGCGTTTGGAGTGGTTCTCTACTTTATGTATATTTTGACAGTTGGCGAGAAGATCTTTCCAGAAGATCTTTCTTTTGGAGGAGTGTCTGCCAAACAGGCAAGCACTCTACTCTTCGTGGCCGGCTGTCTGATCTCGCAAGTATGTTTTTTCGCCTTTTCATCTTTTAATATTGGTTTGTTATCTTCGCCTATCTCGGAGTCGTTTATGGGCGTTCGCTCTTTAGCGGCCTCTCTGCAGACAGGGGTAGAATCGGCGGAACTCTTTCCAACGATGTTCTGCTGTTTGTGTTTAACGGCTCTTTTGACCAGCGGTACCTTTCTACTGATGTACTTCTGTCGGGCTGAGCGGCTCTTTCGGACTATTCCGACTTTGGTCTCTAATGCCTTGTTTATTGTTATTGGGATTCAGTGCATCCGCTATGCGAATGAGCGAGTGACTTCAGTGGCTCTGCCCATTTCGCCATGGACAATCTGTCTGCTCTTTAATGGCTTAGGCCTGGCCTTGTGCGCCTTCTTCTTCTTTAACAAGAAGCACTATCCGGTGGTCACTAAGTACAGTATTCTGATTATTGCTGCGGCTGGGACAGTCTTGTTTTATGCTGCTAAAATGGCCATGGGTCTGTCCCTTAGTGATGTGGTGGCAAATGGATGGCTGCAAACGGATCCACGGGTTTCTGTTACGTTTCAGCTACCGGCCTTTGCTTTCAGTCAGATCAACCGAGCGGCCGTGGTGCAGCACCTGCCTAATATTGTCGGACTAGTACTGCTGAACGTACTGCAGTTCCCTATCAATCTGCCGCCTACGGTCTCACAGACCAAAGCGTACGCCTCGCCGCGCCAAGAGTTGTTGGCGAACAGTCTGTGCAATGCAGCCACCTCGGTGGTGGGCATGTCCTCTTATTTGCTGCCTTCTTCTATAATGGCCGTTCGTCAGGCCGGATCATCGAGTCGGGTGGATACTTTGTTAATTTCGGCCGGATTGTGTGTGGCGTTTCTGCTCTCCTACCGGCACTTCTTCTACATTCCCTTTATTGTGTTTGATTTGATTCTGCTCTTCCTGGGCGGGAATATTGTTCTGAACACTTTGGCCGCCGTTCTTCAAGAAGGTGCCTCGCATCTGCCTTTTGTTCTGGCCGTCACGGCCTTTGCATTGTTCATGGACAGTATTCTCTGGGGCGCTTTAGCAGCGATAGTCCTCTATGGCACCCAAAAAGGTCTACGCCGGGTGGCGCACCGACTCATGCCCAGCACAGCCTCGACTCT